TTATTTCTTTATTTATTTTAAATGGGAATTTTTTTTTTTTTTTTTTTTTTTTTTTTAATGTAGACGAATTTAATAGAATGCAAAATCTTGAGGCATCATCTTTTAACTATACAACGTTCCAAAGTTATATTGAATCAGACGAAAGACAGGACATTGAATTATTTAGTTGTACGAACGATTCTCAAGGCAGTAGCACAACAGATGATGAATCTGTAGTATCTGATTTATCAGATGTGACAGACATTGACATTAGCAAATATGATGAGTACAATGATTTACTTTCTGGAAAACCAAAAGGTGCTGAAGATGTTTATCAAGAATTTCTATCAGAAGAATACACGGAATTTATGCACATCATAACACGGTTTCATGTTCAGGATTCACTTGCAAATACATTTATTAGATTCTTCAACAAATACTCGAATCAGAATAATTGTCCCTTACCCTCGACATCACAAAGTGGTTGGACATTCGTTGAAAACCTTAATATACCAAATTTTGGGTGGAGGAAAGAATTTATTTTTAAATATGAAGGGTTAGATTATGTTCTTGAGTTCAGGACAGTACTTGATGGGATCCATCAGATCTTAACCAACAAAAATATTATTGAAACATTTATATTTAAGCATAAATTATCTGTTGATAATGTAAGTAAATATAATCAGTCAAAAAAATCAAAATAAAAAAAGGGCTTGATATTAAGAAAAAGGACGGATTTGGCAAAATAATACGAATGAAAAATCAATTATTCCATGTTTTTGGTACCATTCGATTCGTCCCATTGTGACGAATTGAATGGTATCAAAAACATGGGATAATCATTTTTTTCATTCGTATTATTTTGTCAAATCTATCCTTTTTCTTCTATATATATATATTCAATGATATTTTCTTTTAATTCACAATTAAAAGATATCTGGTCAGCGTCAATATTCAGACATATTTGATTCTGAATGGTGGAGAAACATAGAGCAAAATATTCCAATTGGAGCACATGTGATGCCAATTATACTTTACTCAGATGCTACTCTCTGCGACCATTTAGGAAAGACATCAAGACATTCAGTATTTATGACATTGGCAATATTTCTTTGGATCGTCATAACAAAATTGATGCCAAAATTTTGCTCGGCTATATTCCCAGTCTTGATTATTGTAGTACATCTAAAAAAAAAACAGCACAATTTAGGTTAGCAGCCCAAAAACTTTTTCATAAAGCACTTGCAACAATACTTAGACCGTTAAGGTCTTTAAGTAATAATGGCATTCATTTATATGTTAATGGTATCCTCAAATGGTTTTTTTCATATTTGGCGCTCATAATTTCAGACTGGCCCAAAGCGTGTACTATGTGTCCTACTTATAACTCAGCAAAATCTTTTCATCCGTGTTACTCCTGCTTGGTAGATTGTGATGCGATGAATAATGTTCATCTTGAAAAAGAAAACATAAACATCCGCAATGAGAATACAACTAAGGATTTTTTGCAGTGGAGTAAGGGTAATGGTAAGCAAATATCATTACATCATATTAAGAATGCTTTGTGGAAGCATCCGTAAGTATTACCCAACATAATTGCAATATTTGTGTTGTGTTATTTGATACTTTGTTTTTTTCCATATAGTACGAAATACT